GTACGGGAGATTGAACTCAGGGGCACTCCACCACTGAGCCACATCCTGAGCCATATTTTGTATTTTATTTAGAGATAGGGTCTCACTGAATTGCTTAGTGCCTCACTTTTGCTGAGGCTGGCTTTGGACAAGGAATCCTCCTGCCTCAGGCTTTAGAGCTGCTGGGATTACAGGCGTGCGCCACCACACCCGGCCCTATTTTTTTTTTTTTTTTTTTTTTTATTAATATTAGTAAGCCAGTGGTGCATATTCCCAGGGCTATGTAATCCTCCTGCGTTCTGAATTACTCTGCTCAGGTGGGTTGCTTTGAAGGATCCTGGACATGCCCTTCCTCCAAGTTAATACCCTTTCTAATTTTGTTTAGTCGTCCTCTCCCTCCCCACACATTCCCAACATTGTGGGGGAATAAAGTCAACATCCGCCACATCCTGAAAGGGGCCAGGAGCTGGGGACCCCACACAGCCCACCTGCTACTACTAGCATGGTGTCCTTCAACAGGACTGGTTTCAGGACAGCGAGTGACTGGCAGGGCCTTTGCCAAAATGTAAGGGAAACTCCAAGGAGGTCTGGGACGGGTGACCCCAGAAGGGTTAGTGAGTGGGTGCAGGTCCCTTGAGGGAGGAAAACGTGCACCTTCTCAGTTAGACTTCAAATCCCCCTCCAACATCAGTGACCTTGAGCTAGTCGCCCGAGTCCCTGCGTCTGTTTCCTCATCAGTAAAATAGGGATAATTGGGAAGACGCAGAGACACTCTGTGTAAAGCACTCTCCGCAGCGCCCGAAACCCAGAAAAATCTCCGTTAGTGTTAATCGCCTGGCGATCGGGTAAACTGAGGCTCGGAGCCGTCCAGACTGGGGCTTGGCCGGGGACGGGGAGGGGTTTGTATTGAGTTACTCCGAGTCAGCAGCCAGGGGCTCCGCGAGGAAGAAGTAGGGACACTTACCTTCTTGGCCCCGGGAACTCCGACTGGTGCCATCCTGCCAAGACTCTGCGGTGCCGGGTCTCCCTGTGCGCGGCAGTCAGGAGCCCGCCCCTTCCCCGGGGGAGGGTCCGACCGCCGCCGCCTGCCCTAGCGGAGCTTGGTGGCTTCGCAGCAGGTGCCCTGCACCCTCAGCCTCGGTCTCTGCCTGGGCCTCATCATGTTCCGCCCCAGCGCGCAGCGGCTTCGGGGCCTCCAGCTGTTGAGCTGCGGGTTGCGGGACTCCCCCGGGCGCCCGCGCTGGGTCTCCCGCCGGGAAGGGTGAGTGGGGCTCCGCCTGCACCCAAGCCGGTGGCTGGGAGGCTGCTGGGGTGGGAGCCAGAGGCCGAGGCAGTGTCTGAAGTTTAGAGGGTTTTGACTTCCAAGAAATGGGTTTTGGGATTTCTCCTTGAATTATCTATTCGTTACAAAGTGAAACAGTATCAAAAAGTATCTGTGCAAAGTCTTTCCTGCCTTAGTTGCTCGACCCAGCCAAAGCAGTTAACGTTATCCAGAGATGGTCTCTGTGTAAGCAAAAGTCAGCGCGTGTGTATTCTTTGGTTTACTCATACCCTTTTACAATTATCACTATGTCTTGGGAATTGTTCTAGATCAGTTCATAATGGTTTCCATATTCTTTTTTAATGGCTGCGTAGTTTTCCATTCTGTTGATATTCTGTAATATGATTAAGTAATCTGTTTGCTAATAGACTGTTTCCAGTTTTATTACTGCAAAATAAAATGCATGTGAAACTTCTTAATTTTGGACACTTGTGAGAATCCATCTATAGAACTGATTTTTTAAAGTGAAATTGTTAGGGAAAGGGTTATGTACATTTGAAAGATGGAAAGATAGCAACAGATTCTCCAAATGGGTGACAAGAATGTACCTACCCTCTACCATTGTGTGTTTGTTCTCTACATCTTCCTTGGTTCTTATAGTAGCATTTTTTTTGTGCTCGCTAAATCTGGTACATACATAACAATGGTATTTTCTTATTTTAATTGATCTGTATTTAAACAGAGTGATGCTGCGCATCTTTTGACTTCCTTATGTTGACAGATTGTTCATGGCTTCAAGGTGGTTCTGCTCACTAGTATCACTTAAAGGTTGATGAAACTTTTATTTTACATCCCATGATCTGAAATTCTGGAATCAAAAGACTTGCTTTTGAGTTTCATTCCTCCATCTTTTCATTCAACAAGAATTCCCTGGGTATCTGTGACGTGCTAGGCTTGTCCCTGATGCTTGGAATTCGATAGCCACCAAGTCACATTTCCTTCTCCTCCAGTGACACACACAGCATGTGATCTCACTCTTTGAGTTTCAGTTTCCTCATCTATAAAGTGGGATAACATTTGCCCTGCCTAACTCAGAGAACTGCTGCAAATTTTAAATAATTTGCAAGTGAAAGTGCCTTGTAAACTGTAAAACATCACAAAAGTACTTAGAACAATGATGATACTTTATCTAGTGCAAAAGAAAATAGAAATTTAACAAGTTGATCTGTTTAAAACCGATTAGATAAAATGTATTATTCAAGACTATCCAAAATGTATTTTGCTGTGTCTATTAGCAACATATAGTTTTATATGCAACAAATCAAAATTTAGATGATTTTATTTCTATTGCATGTTCTTAATACCCAGTCCCAAACTATTAAGAAGATGGTTGATTTTAGAAAGTACTTGGTCCAACAGATGATTTAAATTTTCCCATTTCTAATATAGAAGATTGGTGACCTGGGTGGCTGTTTTTTTTTGTTGTTTGTTTTTTGTCTGGTTTCCACTTTATTGTTTGATTTTGAGTTTATTTGTAACCATCTCTAACTATTTCAGAAGAAAATTAAGATTTAATTAAGCTATAATTTAAAAACACTCTACGTAGTCTGACCCCATTATGGAATGCTGGGCAGAAGGAATATTGTAAATCCTATAACACTTTGATGTATATTGCCAAACTGAACTTTCACAGTCTCATTTTGCAGATGAAGGAATGTTGAGATCCTTATCTAAATTTTTCTCAAATAGCTAGGATTTGGGAGCTCAAACCCAGGTTTCCTGATCTTAAGTTCTTTATTCTTTTTGTTTTAAATGGCTACTGTCCTAAAAGAAATCATATTCTTTCTTTTGAACACACAAAAAAGAACCTTTGAAATTATTATTGTTTGTCACTACTATAATGGCTTCAACTCAACTACAAGATATCTCCAGGCTATTTAAAAATGGACTCATATGCAAAGTAGTCAGGTCATATGTGCATAATTTTTATTTTTGCACAAAAAATTATAAATCATTTAAAAACCACCTAAACAAAAGTATTGGGACATATTTTGGAACCAGAAAATAAGGAAGTACTCCAGGAATAATGCAGTCATGTCAAAAGGACCTGAGAACCTTTTTTTTTTTTTTTTTTTTGATGAAATCTGGGACAATTGATATTAAAATAAATGGTAAATAGCAATAGATTAAAGCCCACTGAATGCAATGAATATTCATAAATTCACATTAATATAAACAACAAAGAAACAGGGGCCCAAGGAAAGCACTTCCTTGCAGTTGAAGGCCCATGGAGTTAGGAAATAATCAGGAAATGCTAAAACCACTCTCTCTCCCACTATATTGTGAACTTTAGAGCACAGAGGCAATGCCCGATCTGGCTCATCATTGCTATGTAGCAGAGTGCCCTGTTCATGCAGGAACTTAGGAAGTACTAGATGAATGAATACGAGACAAACAAATGGAAAAAATGTATGTAACAAAATCATAAATGGTGGCAACAATGAATAAATCCTTTTATGCTAATGAGGACTACCTTTACTAGAATTGCACTCTTTTGGGCACTTATATGGGAACAGCATGGTCAATAGAAGATTCAGACTCCACCACCACAGTTATTGTATATATTCATTCCACACACATATTAGATGTGGGTGCTGTGCAGGGGCTGGCATCAATGAGGAACATGACATCATTCCTTCCTTCAAGAAACTCATGGTCCAGCTAGGAAGACAGATATGCAAATACATATATATGTTAAACCTGAGCAATAAAGACACAGGGGCTCATGCATGGTGAGAGGACATCTAATGATGCAGATCGCTTTTCTCCATCTGGCTCTTTTCAGCCTGGGAGGGAGGAGGTCATCCAAGATTTATAGGTGTAAACTTCAGGGTGATTATAGTTTTTCATATAATAAAATGTGTGTTTTTTTTTTAAATAAGAAAATTTATTCTCTAGATTCTTTGGTGGAGAGAAGCTACCTGTTCATTTCTTTGGTTATATTATATACCTACAGTGCTCTAGAATTATTATATGGAATGGGACCCAAATGTCCCCTTATCCCTCACCCAATTAGGTTGCTTACTCCAGGTTTAGATGTTCCAGATTGTTAAATGAGAACATTCACTAGGTGTTCATGAGGTGAATCATAGTACTGGGGAAATAGGTGAGTGAAAGCCTAGACCCAAACTACAGCTATAGGCTGAGTAAAGTTACTATTTTTTAAACAATTGTTTTTCAGAGAGGAAAACCCACCTTTGCCTACCGAAACAAAATGGAAAGACAGAGCAGAAACAGTGATAATTGGAGGTGGCTGTGTTGGTGTGAGTCTGGCTTATCACCTGGCCAAAGCAGGGATGAAAGATGTGGTCCTGCTAGAGAAATCGGAGCTCACAGCTGGATCTACCTGGCATGCAGTAAGAAAAGCACCCTGAAATTGTCCTGTGTTTTGAATGGTGTACCCATCAGTCCACATGCTTCCCAGTCACAACTCCCCACTGTGAACTCTCAAGAGTGAGTTCCCTGATGGGAACAGTGGTGCATGCCTATAATCCCAGCAGCTCAGGAGGCTGAGGCAGGAGGACCTCGAGTTCAAAGCCAGCCTTAGCAAAAGTGAGGTACTAAGCAACTCAGTGGGACCCTATCTCTAAATAAAATACAAAATAGGGCTGGGAGTGTGGCTCAGTGGTTGAGTGCCCGGGTTCAATCTCTGGAAAGCCCTCCCCGCAAAGAGTTCCTTCTCCATAGAGCTGGAAAGTGCAACTGCAGCTTAGCTGGTGTATGCACATCAGCATTTATTTAGATCATGTTTCTGTCTTGAACACATGGCCTCTGGATTCAAATCCTGGCAGTGCCATTTTCTACCTACATGGTTTCCAGCAAATTACTTCTGAGGTGTAAAATGAGAATATTAATGGTGCCTACTTGTGGGGTTGTGTTGAAGATTGAGTTAACATGTGTAAAGTTTCTAAATACACGGTCAATGTTTAATAATAAATGCTAGCTTTTGTGTAGAAGGATACTGGTGGGGTGATGCCGAATTTAGGCCCAAGGACTTTATCCATACTCCTCTCACCTCTATTTGACAGTTCTTTGATTTGTATTTATTTATGATGCTAATTTTGGTTTTGGCCTCATGAGGACTTTAAACATGAGGGCTAAGCTTTTGTGTTAAGTAAAACACTGGACCACATCGTCTGCTCACTTCATGGTAAATGCAATTGTCCCGTTCTTGAACTATCATTGGGCATACCTAGAAAGCTGCCCAAGAAAAGATGCTGGATTGACATTGCTCTCGTGCTGCCAAACCAATTCTTTCTGAAGTAGGCTAAAGAGAGGACAGGAAGATTTTTTTGATTGCTGCTGCAATTTTCTTTTGGATGAAGATTTGGTTAGTATTAGTGTTGGCTTTCATAATTAGTTTTCCTCTGCTAAAAAGAACAGAAAGAAAAAGGAGACCCTTCTTTGAGGGGCTTTTGATATTTAGCTGAGAGACTAGAATAACAGAGTTTCACACCACTGGCTGAATCTGAGGGAGAGCGCTGCACAGATTGAAGCTCCACTGGTCCCAGAGTCCGAATGGTCACAGATTGCACACACTGGTTGACCAAAGGCTCCCTTCAGCCCCCTCATCCCTCAGTCTGGGAGGAAGGCTGGGGTACCCCATCCTCAGTGCAATTTCAGTTTTCCCAGCATACTTTTCTCCTCTCAACATTACTCCTTCAGCTTGCTTCCTC